GAGCTTGTTGAATCACATGTAGTCTCTCTCGACCATGTCTCTACTGATAATCAATTAGCAGATCTACTTACGAAACCACTAGATGGATTGAGGTTTGAGTCGCTTTGGACGGCTATTGGTGTTTGCTCACCTATCTGATCATGGATTCATGCATATTCATGCATTTATCACATATGCACCTAGTCATTTCATATCTTGCGTGTGATCTATGTGTGTGTGATGCATTTTTGACTGTCAGTTTGTAGTTTAGTAGTCTTTTGTGTGTTTAAACAAAAAAAAAATAATAATAATAATAAAAAAAAAAATTTAAGAATTTTTTTTCTGTGCCTTTTATGTAACGAATATGGCATGTGCATTAAAGATCAAACTCCATTTTTCATCATATGTACAAGTCTGAGGTTCCATTATTGTTCATTTTTGTCTGTGGAGTTCTGGGTATATGGCTCGTCATTCATTTTCACATAGCACACACTGTAGTCCTGTAAGCGAATCTTATGGTGTTCTTCTGTTATTGGGGTTGTATGTACATATGACTTGATCTGGGACGAGTGTAACCTAATAAATATTGTCTTTCCCAAGTTTTATTTTGATTATTCATTGAACTTATGACTGTCTTCGGAGCCTACTTGACTCGAACAATTAAGCCTGAGGGGTTTCTAACCTGGTGCCCTAGGGTCGTCTGACTTGGGAGTCACCGGCCTAAAGTTCGTTATTGGGGTCATTTCTGTCGCCTAATGAGGATTGCATTGCACTTAAGTTCTTTTGCTCAGGGTCGTCTGACTTGGGAGTCACCGGCCCAAAGTTCGTTACTGGGGTCATTTCTGTCGCCTAATGAGGATTGCATTGCACTTAAGTTCTTTTGCTCTTACTATTTACAAGAAAAAAAAATTATTGAATCATACAGTTAGGGGGAGTAAAATTGTGACAATCGTAGTAATTGATATCAGTCCTCGTGGAATTGGATTTGACTGTCACTTGGTAGCCATTAACCTTTGTCTGGTTGTTTTCACGTGTCCTTTCTCACTAATTTAAGGTTTTGAGTCTAACTTGCATGGACTACGTGGCACTTCTCACGGTGATGTTCTGTATACATTTTACTTCACGGGATGCTGAACTGTGTGTGAGCTTAAGATTTGTCTACGTTCTGGTTGTCGGGTTTGCGACTTTATGCTTTTTGGTGGTATTGTTTACATACTTTGGTTCCATACTTCGGTTTTGATTTTTGGGATTATTTTTCAATGCTCTGCAATTGTCTTATCTTTGCAATTCCACGCTTTGGAGCTAATTTCGTCATTTCTTGAAACTTGTGTTCTTTTTCTCAAAATTCAAAAATTTGATGCTATTTCTAAAATTTGAATTTTGCTCGAGTCTCGCCTGGACTTAGCTCGAGCGACAAAAGCAGAAGGCTTTTCGCTCGAGTTTCGCCAATTCCTCGCTCGAGCGACGGTGCTTTTTAAACCCCTCGCCCGTTTCATTTTTGCGCATTTTTTTTTCTTTCTCTCTTTTTTTTTCCTTCTTCCATTTGATTCCCACCTCTTGACATTACTTGGTTTCTTACATAAGTTTGAGGGCCCTGACCTTGATTCCTAATCCGGATTTCATCTTCTTCATATTGATTTTGAGGTATTTTCATTTTTTTTCTTGTTTTTCTCATTTTTGTATTGTTTCATTGTTCTTGTGTTTTGCTTGCATGATACGTGCATTATTATGACCCGCATGCATTTCGTGATTGGTTTGATTGGTACACTTCGCATTTGCCTTCACCATTAATTATGGATTGCGTGTTCTTCCATTGTTTCGTTATGGCATTTTCGTGTTTTTGGTACCATGTTCGTCGTGGTCATTCTTGCATTCCGTTAATCTGTTTGATCTGTGGTTTGTTTCGTTTTAAAGCCCTTGGATTCTAGTTTGTGGAACTATGCTTGGATGCGTGCTTGTGTCTCGTATGTGCTTGGAATTGTGTGTCGAAGTGACGCCCGTCATGTGTTCGATGAAAGTCCCCTGTTATGTTTTGTTTGTTTTCCTTAGTTTGTGTGTTTCAGTTTTTCCTCCTCTTCATTCCGTCTTTGTTTCATTCGCGTCACGTGACTTGTTGAGTGTTTTTACACATTTTTTTGGTGTATAAGTACATCATGCTTGGTTTGCTCTTAGGGTCGTTCACGTTTTTCGATGCATCTCTTTCGTGCCTCATTTGTGTGTGCGGTGTTTCATTTTATATTGTATCGTACCCCGTGCATTCTTCATCTTACTTATTAAGTTCCGTCTCTCCATGTGCTAGATGGCCCGTAAGCGTCCTCGACCCTCTGCGCAGCCAGCTAGTGGTTCGACGTCGTATAGTCGTTCCAGATTCATTTCTGCTACAGCTAAGGAGGTCCTTCACTTCTGAATTTTCCTTACGCCCCGTTCTCATGGAGCGAGAGGTAATCCTCTCTAACCTTCCTGTTGATATCACCGCCATTTTTGTTTCCCGGGGTTGGGAGCCCCTTCTTATTGGTCTTTCACCTCCTCCCCCACTCCCCGTTCAGGAGTTCTATGCTAATATTCATGATATCGACGGCTCGTCTTTTAGGGTTTTTCTTAGGTCATTCTTTTAGGGTTACTCCATCGGCTGTAGCTCATGCTTTAGGTATACCTCAGATTACACATCCGACTTATCCCTATATTCTACCTACTTCTATTCCGGTCGATGCTCTTGTTCGGTCGACGCTTTTGAACACCCCCTTTGTTGGGGGGCCTACGGCGATGGCCACAGGTTCTTTACCCGCTGATCGTCAGGTTTTGTTGCGTATCGTGTGCACAAACCTGTGGCCTGTTGCCCATACCTCTTCATTACCTATGGTGCGTGCCCATTTTCTATATGCCCTTCTTCATGGGGACTCGATCGACCTTCCTAGCTTTGTGTGCCAGCAGATTCTGGCTTCATTTCGTACTCCTGGGAGTCGGATCGGGTTGCCTTATGCTTGCTTGATTCATAGGGTTGCTTTGTCTTTGGGTGCTTCTTTTCCAGAGGGTTCGACTTGTCGCATAGGACGTCCGATAGGACAGCAGACCATTCATCAGAGTCGATCCCATGCACTGTCATCTTCCTCTTCTGCTCGTGCTACAGCTCAGGCTGCGACCTTTGACGTTCTTGATTTTTCGGAGCCCTTTGATCCTATTACCGAGATTCTTACTGGGGGTTTCCGGGTGTCTCTTCCGCCTCGTACGGAATTTCCTTCGGCCGTTCCGCTTAGTCCTACCTTCCCTTCGACATCTACTTCTGCTCCTGGGGTGGCTGCTTTGCCCGTTGACCCCATGGTAATGCTTATGGGACAGATGTCTACTTTGGTCGAGTAGCAGGCTCGTATGATGGCAGAGATCACGCAGTTACATGCTGCTTCCGAGCGTCAGTCAGCTGAGCTTTCTACTTTTCGCAGTGCTCTTGCCGTGTGTCAGCGTCATTTGCGTTGGATTCGTGATAGTTTGGAGGAGGACATGAGTGCCGAGAGCGGTACTGATTCTTCGGATGATGGAGGTGCTAATTAGTTAGTTGATTGTTTTTGATCCCTTGTCCTTTGTGACAAAAAGGGAGAGTAGATACTTGGATAGATAAATCTTCAATTTTTTGGTAATTGTGTTATACTTCATGACTAGATTAATTTTTTTGATGTTTTGACAATATTAATGTATGTTTTTGGTGTTTTTGACTTACATTATTATTGCTTCTTAATCTGGTTAATGACATATGATCGATTTCTTGTTTACTGTTTCCATTTCATATGCTTTTACACTTGGTATTTGAGTTTTTGATTTTCAGGAAATAGGTTCAACAAGAGATTACTACTTTAGTTGAATAGATAGGGTGTTTGGAGTCATGTTTATTTTTGTCCTTGACTGTCATATGTATTTTTGTCACAGAATGCCAAAGGGGGAGTTTGTTAGGAAAATGTGTAATTGGCAATCTGTGACCAAAGGACCTATTTGTCAAAATTGTAAAGTCAAGGACTAAATTGTACAGGTCAAATAGTTCAGGGACTAAAGTTGCAATTTAGTAAAGGTCATAGCATAGGTCTAGGGTAAAGTGGGATGCTTTGAAGATACAAACGGCGCATTGATGTCGCTGGAGTTTCGCCCTGACGTTGCTAGAGCCAAAATTGCAGAACTGACCTCGCTGGAGTTTCGCTGGTCTATCGCCTGAGCGAAGGTACGTCGCTCGAGTTTCGCCAGGACCTCACTCGAGCGACTGTGTTATTTGGCCTTTGGTAATTTTAATGCCTCGCGAATTTTTAACGCTCTATATTACCAAATTCGACCTACTATATAAACAAAACGTCCGATTTTCATTAGGTGACCTTTGGCAAACATTAAAACAATCCTCTCAACTTCCAAAGGATCAAGAGCCAAAATAAATTCATTCTTTTCATCTTTGATTCTCATGGTTCTTTGAATAAAAACATCAACCCTCACAAAACCAAAACACCCTTTCATATCTCCATATAAACTTCCAGAAGATCATCTGTTTGAAGATTCGGGAAGGAAATTGCTTGAAGAACTGGAGTGCTTGGTGATTCACAGGAGGTAGAAGATATTCAAAGCTGGGATTTTGGCGCAGATCTACAAAATCCAGGATAGCTGTGGTCGATACAGTAAGGAGGTCAGAATATTGTTAGAATCAATAATGTCTGACGTACTGTAAGTCAATATCTTCTATAGTGGATCTCTACTGGCTTGTGCCCGGAGTTTTTACCCAGTTGGGTTTTCTTCGTCAACATTTTGTTGTGTTTTTACTGCTTTCTATTATTTATTTTTCAACCGGTAATTCAACTTAGGTAGATAAAGTATGTGAATGAATCTAGGCAATGCATAATTGATGTGACTTGTTGCATCAATTAATTAATTATTTTAATTCCGCATGAACACCTATTCACCCCCCTCTAGGTGTTGGTTGGATCGAACTATTGCTTTTTCAAATCATATTCAAGTAATTATTCATTGCTCATTAGTAAGTAAAATGTAACAACTTAATTAATACTTATCCCTTCAAAAGAACTCCAATTTCTTTCACAACCGGATGAACTAGTAGTCAAACCAAGTATCCTTTTTGCCATGATCTTCAAATTGGGTGTTTCATTCCCATAAAAATCCCACCAACTCACTAATAAATGAAAGTAAAAAAAAAAGTTATTTAATATTTATATAATCATATATAAATTATTGATATGAGAGAGAGTTATATGTTAACATACCCGGTTTGTAATTTTCATCATTGTTCTCACATGCACTTATTGCAAGCCTCCTTTCAAATGAACCTTCCTTTTGGACATATTTTTGCAACTCAATATTTATCACATGATGTTGCATTTGATCATCAGGAAAGAATTTCTCAACACAAGCAATCAAATTATTTATCATGAATGAATCATCTTTGATACATGGATTCTTGAAGAAATAGAATGGATTCAAAAAATATGCCGTTGTGTGAAGCGGACTATCAAGGCGACCCTTACTTTTAACATCAATAATGTCCAAGATTGGCCTATAATCACATTCCCTCTTCAATATGTTTGCAATGTCATCCTTTGCCTTTAGTAACTCCCCATAAACAAAGCCCATTGAAGGTTTTTCTTCTCCATCAACAAGTCTAAGAACTTTCACTAGAGGAGTGAATACCTTCAAACACAAGTCTATCATGTTCCAAAAATCGTTCGGAACAATAATATCAAATGCCTCTTTTCCCTTTTTAGACCTAGACCATTTCGTGTTGTCCCATTCATTGCTAGTCATCATACTTCTCAACTCTTGTTTTTTATCAAGCAAACTTTGCAATGTCAAGAATGAGGATGCAAATCTAGTGACTCCTAGCCTAACTATCTCTCTTTTTGTGAACTTTCTCATCAATGCCAAAGTCTTGTGATGTGCATAAATGAAAATAGTGAATGATTTTGCCTTGTTAATCACTCCCTTGAAGTTGGGAAGTTTAGAGATTCCTTCAAGCATAAGGTTTAAAGTGTGAGTGGCACATGATGTCCAAAATATGTTAGGCCTTTGTAATTCTAATAACTTTGCGGCTGCCATATTATTGGAAGCATTATCGGTTATAACTTGAACCACATTTTCAACCCCAACCTCTTTAATACAATCATTGACATATTCAAATATATATTGACCTGTATGAGCATCATTTGAAGCTTCCTTTGAAGAAATAAATGTGGTCCCCAATTTACAATTCACATACAAATTCATGATGCTTCTTCTTTTTCTATCACTCCAAGCATCGGTCATGATTGAACACCCATTATTTTTCCACTCTTCTTCTTGCTTCTTTAAAGTTTCTTTTGTCCTCTCCACCTCTGCCTTCAATAGTGGCTCCCTTAATTGGTATTGAGAAGGAGGAATGTAAGCCGGTCCATATTGACCAAGAGCTTCAATAATTGTTTAAAATTATCATTATCAATGGCATTAAAAGGAACTCCGGCTTCATAAATCCACCTTGCTAAATATCGATGAACCTCTAATAACCTTTTCTTAGCTATTGCATCATTCATATTTTGTTGTCTCAATTTCTTATTTGCACTCACAGAAGCATCATTGACATTGATGGACCTTGCAAATTGATCCATAGGTCCCACATTCCTAAGCCTTTTCCTAGTCCCTCTTTCAATAATAGCAATTTCATCTTCTTCCTCATCTATTGTAGGCAAAGACGTATTCACATCTTCCCTCAACTTAGCATCATTCAATATCTTCTCTATTTTTTTTAGACTTTGTCCCTTGAATCGCCTCAACACATTTATCTTTTTGTTCTTGACTTGCTTTAGGACATGATGCCACACCTCTTCCCTTTATTCCCGCTATGTGAAATTTATGCCTAGAAATTCCTCCCTTAGTAACCTTGTCACATAATATGCATTTCACATTATTGAAATTGGTTGGATCTACCAAAATCGCGGTTTCCCATCCAACATCATCGGAATCCCTTTTGAGTTTACTAGCTTTTGACATGGTTGAAGAATCACTTTCTTCCATTGGTTCCTAAAAAATAGAAACAATATAAAATTTATAAACATTGGGGTTCAATGTACTAAAAATGCATGAATCAATTCAATACTATAATGGTCACAATTCACAAATACACTAACAAATTCATGATATTTTTATCCACCTTCCAATCCCATTTGATATGAAAAAAGAATTGGTAAAAATTAAAATTGATAGTGTACACTATAGTAAGCTTAACTCATTAGCCAGAGGCCCAGAACTCCATTAAGGCATTAACTCACTAGGTCACAGAAAAGTAAACCCCACTATCTCTTCCATAATTCCATTAACTAATTAGCCACAATCAAAATAAAGTACAAATAAAAGACAAAAAGTTTGTTTGCTAGCCAATTGTTTCGTCAATTCCACCGTCCCACAAAACTCGCCCCCAACTCTACTTATCCAGGTATCTCTCTCTTTTCTCTCACACACATATGGGCCATAGCTATCACTTCTCAATTCTTTGACGTTCATCCGGATTGTAATGATTCATTCTAATTCGGTAATTCCACACTAATATTTCAATTTGAAGATATTTTTGCCTTAAAAAAAAATCCACTAATTCTGGTTTCCCATTTTTTGACAGACTTACCGACATATAGAAACTGAAAATTGCTTGTTGAAGTGGACGGAGCAAGCCAGATGCTGGAGAGGAATTTTTGGGAGTTCAGCCTTTAGTTCATTCTTCTAGGGCACTGAAAATTGGGCAAGTAAATGGTAATTTGTTGGGTTTAAACTTTAAATCTTTAATAGAAGCATAATTTTTTTTAACCAAAAAAAAATAAAAATAAATAAATAATGCGAGCCTTGGCGCAATTATGCGCGACAAGGCGTGAAAAATGTTGACTGCTAAATTACACGCATTGGCCCTTTGCTTGGCGTTTTGCTTGCGCGTCGCGCCTAGGCGCGCTATTTAGAACACTGATAATTATTGCTCCAGCAACCGTAATTGTGTTGCATACCACAATAATTTTATCCACCAAAGATGTCAATGTTGAAATCATCCAATATTAATAGACGAATGTCTCCTTTAAGATAGATTTTCGAACTTAATTTTTGAACGTTCGACCATAAGAAGTTGTAGGTGTTTGGTAAAATTGATTATAAAAGAATTTGTACCGTTAGACAACAAATTTTGAGAAGTAGCAAAAGTGTAACTTTTCAAATTCTACTTTTTAGCTTATTCAATTTTCTATAACTAAAACATATCCCAGATATTCCTAAAATAATGCATCATACGATCAATTAAATTTCTTTAATTTTTCCCTTATGAACTACTTACTTTTCTCGTTTTAAAAGTACTTAATTCTATTATTGTACTACCATTACTCAAGTGAAAATAATTAAAGAACTATCATATAGATCATATCGTTTGTGATAATTATTAGAAACATTTTAATTATTTTGAAGATAAACTGAAATTATAGTTTTATGACAACGTAATGAAGCAATAATAAAATAGACTAGTTACCAAACACAATTGCAATATTAAATATTTAAATTCCTAACAAACCAACTAACTCATTAAATCAATAATATATGAACACATTAGTGTTGCAATTTTTGTTAGTAAATAATGATGCTTTAATGTAAAAAACGTATATCATAACATTTTCTATTGGTAAACCTAACCTTGAATTGCAAGTTTATCAACATATTCCATGCATAACATATCTTAAAAATTGATATAATGAACCATTCCCACTAAAGTGCAATATGTTATATATGTGTAACAGTAAGACTTGATTTTAGAACTCTTATTACTGAAAAATACATATAGGTCAAGATGTAAAATCCAAAAATAGAATCGTCATAGAAATTGTGCAAAAGTAAAGGAAGAGAAGTGTAAATTAAGTAGGTTAAATTACTTCTAGCACGATGCACACTTCTATGCTATCTAAGCAGCCTCGTGTAAAAAAAATGTAATATCTAATTACGTCTTGCATGTACAATAACAAACAGGAGTTCTCGCAAGTCATCATCTTGGCTATTCAAGTCCAACATACAATCTGCTTGCAAAGACAGTCAAATCACAATATATTTCGCGTGAATCCTAGACTACTGAAGTTATTTGATACTTGAGTGGCCTACCTATGTTTACTCTCCCACGAGAGAGGTTGGAGAGGATAATTTGTTAAGCATGTGAATTTTGATCTTGAAAAGGAACACAACTCTCCCATTCCAAAAAAGGCACATCTCCTTTGCCTGATAGAGATTTTTACCATATTCAATATCAACTTTTATCATCAACAGTACTTGAATTTCGAATGGTGGGACGATTCAGACAAGTTTAAACATTACCATAGCTGGAATGATAAAAGTTGTCCAAAACTTGAATCGTAGACTGCCCTTTTTCTTGGTCTTTGTATATCTATAATTTGCTGATGATTGACACCTGTCTATGCCAATGAAAATTCCTATTATCTTATCCAAAAAGCCATTGATTTTGGTGATTTCCTTAATCCGAGGAACCCATTATTATTTCAGAAAGAGGATCCTTATTGGTTCATTAAACTGTTTCACGTGGCCTTGTCCAATAGAAATATTTCTTTGCAGACAAATTAGCATAACCTTTTATGATTGTCTTGGTGCGTGGATCAAACTCAACAAACATCAAAATCAATTTTAAATAGGTAGGCCTCTAATTTTTAAATTTAAATTATCTTAGAGTATGTTTGGTAGAGATTTTAATCCAATTAACATCAATTTTTTTTATCGTTATTTTACTATTTCAATCGTCATTTTTGAATTATCCTCTCACAGATAAGATCTACTTTATCTCTAATGTTCAAAAAATCAATTAATAAAATCCATACTAAACAAGCACTACAAAGTTTTATAATCCAACTTTAATAAACTAATGACTCATTTGACACACTTTTTCTTTTACTTCTACTTCCTTTAAAAACCGAAGTAGCTATCTTAATTGATATTTGGAAACTAATGTTTAAAGGAGCTTCTTTTCTCGAATGAGCTTTTAGATGAAATCACATTGTATCAACTTTCTCTCAAAGCTTTTTGAAATAAAAAAAAAATACTTTTATAAAATTAATTTAATAAGTTCAAAAAACAATTTTTGAGTATCAAAATCTCCCTTTGACTTCTCGAATATCAAGTCAAATGGGCCCTAAATCATT